AGCTTAGGAATATGGAATAAGGGTGTCAAAAGTGTACAAGAGAGATAGAAGTGGCCTTGTATAAGCCCACTTAATGGTATTTAATTATTTGGCTTTAGCTAAGCTATATAACATTAATTAATCTAATTTAATCATTCCAAATCGAATTTCAGTTAAACCTACCACAAGGTTCTAAAAATTCCAAATAACACATAAATCAAATTAATTTCTTAATCGAATGCTGATAAGGCCCTCAATTCGCAAACCGAAAAAAAAACATGAACAGATCTTCCTACATTAAACAGATATAAACACTATAATACAACGCACACATGCAATTAATTCAAAATTTCTCCTTAATTACTGATTATGCATAATTAATCATGGATTAACGTTAATTAGGAATCAGGGTTATTACATGTTTTATGTACTAAAGTGTTATCAATAAAGGTTGTATTTCTGGGTCCACCAATGTGTCAAACTCAACATGAGTTGGGGTTTTTGATGTACACTGCTTTTTGCACGAGTTAACAAAAATGGAAGAAAATATATCTTGTGGTTCAAGAAACCTCTAGTCTGTTCAAGAATGCAACGCAATGTAATTGTTGATTGTGTATTATATTTTATCAAGGAAAATGTCAAATTTGTGTTTGTATAAGTAGATGTCTATTATTTGCTTAGTGAAAAATAGACTCAAACTGAATAATATTTGTATTTGGTCTAATTGTTCCATACGAAAGTATAATTCTCATTTCCAATCTAACTTTCAAACAAATGCTGTAAAGCCACTATATTCTTTAACCTGTCGTCACTCTACATTTTGTTTCATAAGCCGGGTGAAGATGATTTTATTTTGCCTAATGAGATGGTATTCTTAACAATACACTTGCTGAAAAAATGATTTTAACTTCCAATTGTTCATCTTAGTTCAAGGGACAATCTTGATTCCGATTGTTGTTGTTGTTGTTGTTGTTGTTGTTGTTGATGATAATGATTGCAATAGACATTAAAAAATTAAAAAATTAAAAACAAATAAAAAATTGTGGTGCAATAGATTAAAAAAAAAAAAAGATATGTTCAAAATGTGAACAAATAGTAGCTTCATGTATTTCAATAACAAAGATTTGAATGGGAAAAAAATAACAAATGGAATTTAGAAAAAAAAAATGTATAGATAAATATAATTTAGGAAAAAAACAGAACAAATAGGGAAAAAAATGAACAAATAGATATAATTTAGGGAAAAAATTGAACAAATAGATATAATTTAGAGGGAAAAAATGAACAGATAGACAAAAAATTTGAACAGATATTTAACGAAAAGTCAAATAGATAAAAAAAGTCAAGGGGTAAAATTGAAAAAAATATATATTCTTCAGGACTTCTCACCAAATTATTTCACAAAGCATTAATCTCTTGTCAACAAAAAATATCCCCTGCACTTAATGCTTTATACCTTTCTTAAATTGGATTTATCACCAATTAATCTTTTTTTTTATTATCATTGTATTTGGTAATAGAATGGAGAAACGTATATTTAACTTTTTGGATTTTTATTTTAAAAAATCTGCTAGATCTTGAATATGTTAAATTTAGGTCCAAATACATTTTTAATTATTTTTTATTTTTTTTGTTCTTGTGTTAAACATATGCAGATCTTGGTGAAAACTCTAACTGGGAGCAACTTAGCACTATGACTGATCTGTTCAATTGTCTCAAATGATGATGATGTTGTTGTGTGGTTTATCTGTTTGGATCTTCTTCTTTTTTTTCTTTTTCTTTTTCTTTTTTCTGAGTAGTTGTTCATGATAATGATGATGAAATAGATTAGAACAAGAAGAGAGAGAAGTTGAAGAAAAGAGAAGATGAATTTGTGGTGTGATGATCTATTTTGTTTTTATTGTTGTTGATGATGATAAACATATTGCAAATGGATAAATAAATAATAAAAAAAATCTATTTAAAATTGCTAAGATATGTTCAGATCTGTTCAAATATGTTCAAAATAGCTTAGGTCTAAATTTCAAACAAATGACATTTCACACAGATAAATTTTGAACAGATATATTCAGAATTTCAATAGATAGAATTTTGACAAATAGAATTGTGGTGTGTGGTAGATCTAGATCGGTAGAGAAGGCCACTGATATGTTCAACTAAATAGATCTCTACTTTTTTTATTCTTTTAGTTGTTGTTGATTATTATTTTTTTAGTTGTTGATGATAAAACAAATATAAGACAAATTTTGAACAAACAATAGTAATAGTTTGTGAATTTTTGTGTAATATTTGAGTATTAGTGGTGGATAATTTCAATAGATAGAAAAATTAGTTTGTGAATTTCAAACATATTGGAAAAATGTGCTTCCAAATTTGAGTAATAGATAAGAAATTGTTATTTTAAAGGGTAAATTACAAACACACCCCTTGAGGTTTACTTAAATTGCAAATTATCTCTATGGTTCTAGAAATTACATTATGCCCCCTAAGGTTTCTAATTTCATAACAAATAGGTCATTTTATTAATAAATCATCAAGTTAATTAACAGTTTTTAATAATATTAAAATTTTATTTCAATTAATAATTCAGATAATTTTATTATTGTATAGGTGAACAGTTAGAAATTTTAATTTTTCAATTAATTCTGTTAAATAAACAATTCTGACAGGGAGGTATTTGTAAGTTTCCAAACCACAGGGACAATTCGCATTTTAAGCAAACGTCAGGGGGGTGTATTTGTAATTTACCCTATTTTAAAAGATAAGAAAATTTGAACAGATAGATAGAATTTAGGGAAAAAATTGAACATGTAGATAGAATTTATGAGAAAAAAATTGAATAGGAAAAATAAGGGAAAAATTGAACAGATAGACAAAATATTTGAACAGATAGTCAACAAAAGTCAAATAGATATTAAAATAAAATAGAAAAAAGAAAGAGTCAAGGAATAAAATTGGAAACAAAATGTCTTTCAGGATTCTCACCAAATTAATTCACAAAGTGTAGACCTCTCACTAATAAAAAAAAATATTCACTAGACCTAATGTCTTATACACTCTTTAAATTAGATTTATCACCAATTTTCTCATAAAAAAATGTTCAAAAGGTCATAAAGCAAACCTATTTTAAAAATATTTGGCATTTCATGAGTTTGATTGTGCATATATTTATGTGTGTGTGTGTGTGTGTGTGTATTTACACAAAGATAGAGAGCTAGAAATGGGATATTTACCTGGCCTTTTTTGGCTAGAACATAGATCAAGTTAGAATCAGAATAAAGTAGTCTTCTCGCTCTTTAATCTCTCTCATATTAATGTTCTAGATCCAACTGAATGTACTCATCAAAGTCCATCAATGGCTCACCATCTTGAAATCAGATCTGAAGTGGAATTAGGGCAAATAAATGGTTTGGTGACGGAGGTGGTCCCTGTGTCGTCGTCGAAAACCTTGCAAGATCTCATGCCAGTAACAAAAACCTTGCGAGATCTGGATTTGAATGGAGGCTATGAGGAGGATGAAGAGAGGGTTTTCATCAACGATAAAACGACGGAAATGAGAGAAAGAGACCATCGACGATGATTTCATACGGTGGTTGACGACGGTAGTGAAGTGACGAGGCTCTGACGTCGACAGAGGGAGATCGACGATGATGAAGGAGCCAGAGAGAGATGAGGGTTTTAAAGAGAGAGAAATCGAGAGAAAAGAGAGGAGGAAAGAGAAGAGGATACGGGTTAGTGTTTGGTATGAGAAATAATATATATATATATATATATATATATGTACTGTTCTATTTTTTTCTTTCTAGGGTTTTAACAATGTTCATTATAATATTCCAGTGAAACAATGATTAAACCAAGTTAACACAATCCATATCCACCCAACCTTCTCAGCTAGAGGCCCTTACAATATTTCACATATCTTCCTGTCAAACTCTATTTTGAAATTTCCTCATTTATAGTAGGGTGAGCATGATTCGGTCGGGTTTCTTATACAATAGTAAAATTATCAAAATTGTTAATTAAAATGTATTTCTGATATCATTCAAAATTATTAAATAAAAAAATAACAATAAAACATTTATAATTTCTAAAACTATAATAGACAATTTATATTTTAAATAAATTTTAAAAGATGTATTTATAATTTATTTTATTATAATAAAATTAAAAAATTACTTAGGATTTTTATTTTTATTTTTATTTTTTTGGTGAATAAGACATTAAATAAAACAGGAAAAAAAATACAAGAATACAAGGACATGCCACAGGACCTACAAGTAAGAGTGTAAAAATGGCCCGCGGTACGCAAGCAGCTCGAAACCCGCCCTCGGCTTGGGGTGGGCCCAGCCCATTAAGGCCTGTTTGGGCCCAAGCCCAGCCTGAGCCCTTGAGCTTGAGCTTGGGCTTGGGCCATCATTTTGAAGCTCAGCCCGACCCGACCCAGCCCATTGGCTCGCTTAAAGCCCACTCAAGGCCTGGCCCAAGGCCCAGTATCTTTTTTAGTGAAAAATAATAAAATTTTGATAGAAAAAATTTAAAAAAAACCAACAAAAAATCGTTAGGCCTGCCCAAGACCCGAATATCCCTAGGCCTGGGCCTAATTTTTTTGGCTCCTGAGCCAGCTCGGACGGACCAAAATTTTGACAAAAATCCGCGAGGCTGAACATGAGCCGGGCCCGGCCTGAGCCCTGGTAGACCGGACCAAATTTACACCCCTACCTACAAGCTACACAATGCTAAAAGACAAACAAGCATAAGAAATGGGCAAACTGTTGGCCCAACAAAAGCTTACACTAGCCATAACTATAAAGCAAACTATTACAACATCAAACTATAACAACAGCAAACTATTACTTAGGAATTAAGCTTGCAGCTCTGCCGTGTTCGATTAAGCAGTATCTCTAACAAATAAAAGTTTAACCCCACTTTCTACGTGGTGCAAACTTTTTCTTTTTTTTTTTTTCTTTTTTTTCCCTTCATATGAATGGGTTTGCCTTTTAGTTTGCTTTTTTGCCACCCATTCGGCAAATGGTTTTATAAAAGCTTGGCTTCGGTGCGGAGACTATGCAGTAGACTTTAGCAAGGAAGTGTTCTCCCAAATCCTGTGGAGACGCTGCAGACAACATGGAAGAAGGGAAATCATGCCATCCTATCCCTCCTCTTCACAATGCCAACTCTGGTATCTCTCTCTCTCTCTCTCTCTCTCTCTCTCTCTCCATATACATATATATAGTGTTGTATCTGTGTCTGGAAATTAAGTTCTATACGGATGATCCGTAAAAACCATCTTTTACGGGCCACCAATCTTAAGTTCTATACGGATGATCCGTAAAAACCATCTTTTACGGGCCACCAATCAGTGGTTGAGCCAAGAAAATGGACAAAAGCCCCCCATTTTGTTGTCATCGTCTCCTCCCCTGCATTCCTTTCCTCTGAACCTATGAAGCACGGTACGGGTACGAATAGTGATATTAATACGTTAATACAGTAAAATTCAAAAAAAAATAAGATATGGGTATGACTTGGTACACTTATAAAAAAATATTTATTTTTAATTTAGAGTAATGTAAAAATTAATTAAATGGTTTAATTTGTTAAGGTCCAACTTACAATTAACATTTAATACCAAAAGTAAAGATATAAATCAAAATTAAATGTCAATATATTAAATAACTTACAAATCATAATTTAATTTTAAAATTATGCTAAGCATAAAATAAAAAATAAAAATAAAAAATCTAGTGAGATGAGTTTTATCTCTATAGTAGAAGAACATATTGTTTTAACTAAAGTACGGTACGGTTTGGGTATATACTAGATATGTCTAGGTATGCCAAAAATTAAAAAGAAAAAATTTAAGTACGTGTTTTGTGTACCTAGCATGTATGCAGAAGTATTATACGAGATATCATATGCCGGTAAGTACCCGATACTAGTACGGCATGTTTTTTAAAGTACTCATGCTTCATAGCCCTAAACATTGTTGTGCCTTCCTCAAATGATTAGGGTTTTGTGTTTTGGGTTCAATGGGTTTTGTTGGAAATTTTGAGCCATCAGTGATGTTGGAAAATGGAAATCTTAAGCGTTTAGGTGGTAACAGCATCTCCAACTCTTCATCAAATTTTAAGTAAAAAAAGTTTGGTTTGATATGAGTTACCCCATTGTTCTCATCAAATTTATAAATAAATAAATAAATAATCCCTTATATCCCAAATTTTCCTTTCCATAAAATTTGATTTTTGATGAAAAAAAGCCGTCTTCTTATTTTTTTAAAATTTTTACCAAATTCAAATTTGACGAAGTATGTGATAAGTTTTCAATATGATAAAAATATTAATTCTCCCTTGATTTGATCAAAGGGTCGAGTCTCAGTCATGAAAATTTGATGAAAGTGTTAGGAAAGTTCATATCAAATCAAGCTTTTAACTCAAATTTATAATCAAATTAAATGAAAAAAATTGATGAAGGGTTAAAGGATTGAGATGATTTTCTTTCATAAAAGATGGTTAAAAAAGCTTCTTAGGGTAAGTTTTGGTTTGGAGTGTTGCATACCAGATCAAGCTTTTAACTAAATTTTCACTCAAATTTGATGAAACAAAAAGAGTAACGATTGGAGATGCTCTAACATCATAACTTTAAAATGGCTGCATCAACTTGTGAAGCAGCTTTGTTTTTCTTTGAAATAGTGAGCTTGGTTTCACGATTTACCAACTCATAGCTCAGATTTTTGTTCGTTTTTCAGAGCTAGATCTGTGATTATTTAAGAGTCTTGCTTTGCTATGGGCTGTTTCATCTATACTAGTTTTTGTGGTAAAAACTTTGCCAGAGAAGATGGTTGCCTTGGTAAGGGAGGGAAGCAGTAGGGCTTACATGTTTTGTAACTTTGGATGACATGTCAACTAAAGATTGGTTGACCGTTAAAGATCATATTTACGGTTCGACCATAAATATCTCCTGCTTCTGTGTGTTCTACATCGTTTGTTTTTGAAGTGATGGCAATCAGACCATCCATGTTTATGTAGTGTCATCAGTGATTTAACTCTTTTACAAATTTCATTGATTTTTTATTTATTTTTTTCAATTGGTACAAGTTAATTTAGAAATTTTACTCCTTTACAAACTCATTGGCAATTTTTTTATTTCATTATTGATAACATATATGCTTATAGATAAATACATGCACAAAAATATTTATAAGTCGGTGAAAATACATTATGTTGTAATTTGAATTTTCCATATTTAAAGGACATCTAATAAAATACATAATACCTGAAATTTTTAGTCGAGTTGAGTTGAATGTATAGAAACAAAGCAAACTAGATCTTTCAATGTAATTTCACATTTTCTCTCTTCAACATTTCACAGAAGTAACAAGGTATCTAAGAAAAATACCACCAGCTCACTTCATTTTCAAGATCGAGTCATTCTCACAACTCTCACAATTATTGTCAGATGCTGAAGTTCAAAATTGTGAATCAGACATTTTTGAAGCCAGTGGCTACAAATGGTTGAGTTTGTATACTATTTACTCAAGTTTTTTTTTTTTTCCTCCTTTCCTGTTGAGATACATAACCATAATCTGATTCTTATAGTTCTTTTGTGTTCAACTTGAAGGAAATTATCTTTCTACCCAAATGGTGACAAAAAAAGAAAAGGGGAAGGACACATCTCTTTGTACTTGGTAATCGCAGAAACTAGTAATTTACCTCTTGGTTGGGAGGTCAATGTGAACTTCAAATTGTTTGTGTATGATCAAATTCAAGGCAAGTACATGACCATCCAAGGTAGGTGTTTTTTTAGTAACCAATCAATTTCCTTTATGATTGTTTGAGGTTTTTAAATTTTCATCCACATGCATATTTTGCATATATTAATTACTCTACACACTTGATTTTTCTTCTTTATTTCAATGTTTAGATGCCAATGGGAAGGTAAGACATTTTCATGAGATGAAAACAGAGTGGGGTTTTGCCCAATTACTCCCGCTCAGTACTTTCAATGATGCTGATAACGGATATCTCATCTGCGACACATGTGTTTTGGGAGTAGAAGTTTTTGTTATAAATTATACTGGCAGAGGACAATCTATAAACATACTGAAGGAACTTGACCGTACTTACACCTGGAAGATTGATAATTTCTCATCTCTAGATGGTGAAATTCAGTACTCGGATGTCTTCATTTTTGGAAATCGAAAGTGGTATGCAATGTTTGAGTTTGCTCTCAATTACTATATGCAAAATGAAAATTTGACAATTTACTGCTTTTTATGCCTTCCTCTAACAAAACCAGGAATTTACGGCTATATCCCAAAGGCCGTGTAACTGCAAAGGACAAATGCCTGTCCCTCTTTTTAGGGTTAAATGATTTGAAAACCTTTCCTTCTGAACGGAAAACATATGCAAAATTCAAGATGCGCATAAGGAACCAAAACCATGGCGAGCATATGGAAATTGAAGGTGATATTATGTTTTCTTCTATTTTTTGTTCATATCTTAGGTGCCACAATGTCAACATGAACATATATTTACCCTTCGTTTCCTCTAAAAATCCAACAAATGAACATAAAAGTGTAAAATAAGTATGAATACAGTCCGAAGAAATCATATCCATGGGACACTGCTTGTCGCATTTGCAAATTATGAAGAGCTTTTCATTTATGTAGATCTTTTGGGTAGTTAAATAACAATTGTCCAATTCTCTCGCAGGTTCCAATTGTTTTACTTCAAGCTCCATCTCCTGGGGTACATCTTCATTCTTGTCATTAACTGACCTCCATGATGCTTCTAAGGGCTTCCTTGTGAATGATACTTTAATTATTGAAGCCGAAGTTAGCGTCATATCCACAGTGAAGAATTTCTCCATGTAAATATGTGCGAGGCTTTTATCCCAGTGATACAAGGAAGTTAGTAGTATCCTTGTCCTTTTAATCTGTTAATATCATCCTGTGCATGGACACCAACTTATGAGTTAAGAGACTTTTATGCTATGAAAGACTTCTTATCATGTGCGAGTTGTTTTTTAACTGTTTGTGATTCTTGACTGTGACTTGTTTACATTGAATTAAAATCATGGAGATAGTCTAAAGATCCAACTCCATTTGAGAAATATACTTCTAGCAGTTGCGAATGGTGATATTGTCATCAAAGTTAATATTGACTTTGACACAAAAATAGCTATTGTACATGATTTATATTTCACGGATCACGACGCAAGTGAGTTATTAGTTCACGTGTTTAAATGATTATTATAGATTACTGAAGGCAAATCAAATAGACTGACAGCATTCTTAGGGAAGCAAAACATTGTTGTACTGTTCTATTTTTTTCTTTCTAGGGTTTTAACAATGTTCATTATAATATTCCAGTGAAACAATGATTAAACCAAGTTAACACAATCCATATCCACCCAACCTTCTCAGCTAGAGGCCCTTACAATATTTCACATATCTTCCTGTCAAACTCTATTTTGAAATTTCCTCATTTATAGTAGGGTGAGCATGATTCGGTCGGGTTTGGTTTTAGAATATTCCAAATAATAGCAGTGACTATTATTTATAATTTCATGAAATTTCTATTCAAACTAAATCATAAAAATATTGAAATCACAGGAGACCAAACTAGTAACGCCGTTAGATTTAGTTTGGAATCACAATTTTAAAAACTTATCATCATTCAGTGATCACAATCTACTAAAACATCAAATAATATGTCTACAATTTTTTTAAAATTTTCAAGAACTAGTGTTATCACTCCACAAGCAACCATTAGTAAAGGTTTGCCCTTGTGAACATTTCATGATATAGTTTAGAGAACTGACCTGCCCATCAATTCAATGTTCCCAAAACGTTGTAATTCACCTTTAGTAAAGCTTTGCCCTTATGAACATTTCATGATATACATATAATCAGTAGGCGTAAGTGCAAATCCAAGGCCGTCCCAGTCTACGTCAGCAAATTCATATAATAAATCACTGTCACAAAGAAAGAAGCCTTGTCAATATATGAAATCAGCAAAAATGAAAGGTTTAAATCAACGTTAATAGCAAGTAAACTGGTACCACTTTACTTGAATCAAAGTTAATGCAAGTGGAGTGGTAACCACTTTATCAAAACATCTAAGGCCTCGTTTGGGAACAGACTAATTTAGTAACTTTTTGGCTATTTGGTTAAAATATGAGCTAAAAAAAATTAGTATGTTTGGGATGATTTTTTGGCTTTTTACAAAAAGATGTGCAAAAAGTAGAGAGAAAATAGAATCTTTGACTTTTTTGTATGGGTTATTGGCTTTTTGGCTAATTTATTAACTTTTTGGCTTTTTGGCTAAAAAAGAGGGTTCCCAAACGAGGCCTAAGATGCAACCATTCAAATATACTTTAAGATAATTAGTGATAGCAGTCATAATATCAACATGTACATGTATATGCGTATCAATAACATGCCCACAATGGCCATCTTCACCACAGTCATAATAAATATGATGAAGAGTTTACACAAAATAAAGAACCCAAGGCTTCTACAGCATTGAGTCGTTCCTCATGCATGTCTTCTGTCATAAGTGGTGCATCCTATATTAAGCATAGAGAACAAGTCAACATTGCTTCTATTGAAATTATAGGGATTAAAAAAAAGTAACTGGAAAATAATCTTAGTCTACTGAAGCTAAAACAACCTACGTAAATGGAGCATGCAAGTTCTGGTGTAATTTTAGAAGCATCATACCCACAACACCAGCTGATCCCTTCCTGATACAATCTGAAGGTCTTAAATTAGAAGATATCACAATATCCCAAGTCTCATAATTAATCCTTGATATAGAAGTTTCAAGATGACATGAATCATCTGACAGTGAGCCTCTGCATAAAGAGCACAAAGAGTATGAGTGAATCACATGAATGGGATATAAAAAAGGGCAATAAGCAGAAAGTCCAAAAATTATTGAAATCCTATCATATCTATTTAGTGCGAGAAAGAGTTTATACAATAAGCTCTTTACCTGCAGCAGGGGAAGAAACAGAATCGTGCATTCCATCAACCTCACTGCCACCACGGGTTGTTTGTACATGATTATTATCATCCTCAATGTCGTTATCACCTTCCATCTTTACATTATCTACATCACGTAATGTCCGAAAACAAGAATCATGACCAGATACAATCAGTGTCATGTTTTCCCTATATCTCTTGTATATTCATTGACAAATAAATCTAAGGAATGCTTGAATCAAATAAATCAAAATTCCAGTCTCTAATCAAAATTCACTGACCTAGTACAACCATATGCATTTATCCACCATCACGATTGGTGAGCTCTGCCTCAAGGTTCATAAAATTATCATAATTAAGCTACTCTACATCCCCAATAAACAAACTACATGCATAAGCGGAAAGAGTTTAGCAAAACATAGACGATTTGAATCTGAGCACGCAAAAGGACATTAAAATTCATCAATGGAATCATTCAAAATCACTGAAACTGAATCTCTGTTCAAAATCCTTGCTCAAATCATGAAACGAGAGAGAGAGAGAGAGAGAGAGAGATGATTATAGCGAAAACGAAAAACAATAGCAAGATCAGATCGTGAAAATTGAACAAAAAAACACATATAGGCAGACAAATTGAAGATTAATTGATTTACCGGTAAAAACAACCTCTTGAGTTCACGATGCTTCCCTTAATGCCATCTCTAATGAGCTAGATTAAAGAGAGAGACAGAGAGTAGAATGGATTATTGTTTCAATTTACACATTACAGATTAGTTGATAAAGATGTGTCAAACAGAGTAAGATTCGAGCTATGAAGATGAATCGATGAAGATGTGTCAAACATTATAGAGAGAGTTGAATCGATGAAGATGTGTCAAACATTACACAGAGAGACAAAGAGATGTGTTTAGGCTTACTGGTTATGAATCTTGATTATGAATCGATCGAAATCTTCATCAACAGCAGATTGAAATCTTCAAATCTTCATCAACAGTCTATCAAAATCTTCAAATCTTCATCAAAGTGAGAGTCGAGTGAAAGAGACAGTGAGATTCGAGCGAGAGAGAATGGAGACTTAAAGGAGAGAATCGAGCGAGAGATAGATTCAGAGACAGGGAGTTCAGATTTGGGAACTAAGAAAAAAAAAAGGGAACATAGGTCAGTTTTTTTATTTTTTTATTATTTTGTTTTTAAGTTGATCATGATCAAGTAAAATGAGATTTTGACGTAAAAAGCAGAAATGATAGACACTTTTTTTTTGTTTTTAACCCGATAATCTCGCAGAACACATGTCAATAAGGGAGAAGAAGAACAAAAAATTAAAAATAAAAATTAAAAAATTGATCAATTTTAATACATCGGAGGTAGTGAGGGTTAAAAAAAAAAACGGAAAAAAAAAATAAAAATTAAAAATTAAAAAGTTAGTCAATCCAGGTAGTGGGGTCAAAGAAAAAGGAGTAACCTTTTTCTTGTAATAAGTGATTTTTTTTGCCGCCATTAAAAAATCAGTCGTAAAAAAATAAATCAAAATATCATATTTTTAATAGTGAAAAACACTTTTATTGCAGTTTTTTTTTTTATTTTACTCAGCCCTATTTTATACTTGAATGAATTCCAAAAACCATTATTATAAATGCACTCTGTCTAGAAGTCTAAATTTAAAATTTTTGGAATAATTCTAAATTCTATTTTTTCAGGCCTTAAGAACAACAATATTTTGAAAGACCATATTGGCTTATTTTGGCAACATAGTTTTTAGTCACTTTTTTTGGTTAGTAGCAAACGCCAAAAGTTGGCTTTTTTGGCTTTTTTTTCATTTGGGAAGTTGGTTTTTAGCCAACAGTGAAATTACAATTTTACCCCTTATGGGTCAAAATATGTTATATAGGTGAAGTTGTAAATATTTTAAATAAATGGGGGTAGTTTGGTCATTTTATTATGATTTGACATCATAAACAAATATTAATCAAAAAAGTCAAAAGTCACTTTTTACCAACTTCCTAAATCATTTGTCTAAAAAAGCCAAAAACTTAGTTAAAAGCCAAAAAATCACTTTTTACATCTTTCCAAAACAACCCATTATATCCACCAACTTATTCACCTGTTTACCTATTTGTTTATATTACCACTGGCCTCTAATGCTAATGAATTTTCCAGCGACATTTTGGTGAATATTCCGACAATGATGAGTTTTTCGACAATGCACGCGTTAGTGTTCGGCAGTTGACAATAGTCACTGATGATAACAGTGTGTGAGAGTGTAACGATACAAGGATAATACAAAATAAAATAAAAAATGCCATCGAAACAGAGAAGTCACAAAACTTATGTCATATATACCCCAACGAAAAGTGGATTCTTCATCAGTTTTTTCCGTATTTAAATGGCAAAAAGTACAAGACTATTTTGAGAACATACAATTTTAGTTAAAAATCAGAAAGAGGCAACAAACTTTCCTATAGTTTTTTACCAATCGTTTTTATCAAATGCCAAAAAATTTACTAGAAAAATCAATTTCCAAAATAGGCTTTAGTAGATGGTTTGAAAAACTCATACTAGATTTCAACGGACTTTAATGATTTTTTAAAAATAGTTTAATCAATTTTTGTTACTATTTTGATCCACTTAATCTTGATAAAATTTGTATAATTTTTTTTAAAAAAATTATTGAATGTAATAAAATATGAAAAAGTATTGAATTTTCATATTTTTTGTATTTGATGATTTTTTATTAAAAAAATACAAATATTATACATTGTGAGTGTATCTAAATTAAGTGTATTTAAAAAATAAAAATAAAAATTACACAAAATATTTTTAAAAATTCACTAAAAAAAATACCAAAAAAAAAAACAGATAACCAAACAAGGTATCGTCTTTACACGCGTCCCCAGATTACCAATAAAAGGTTGGCTTCGGAGTATCAGGACTCGAGTATTTTACCCACCCAAAAAGACTCGTGAATCCCCTCTAAAATAAAAAACAAAGGCTCGTGAGGATTTACCACTGAACTCTAAGCGGAGAAGATGGAAGAGAATGGCAACTGTGGTGCCCCTCTCTCTCTCGCTAGGATTAATTTTACTTTTATTTTTTAAACTATTATCATTTTTTCTTTGTTTGCTTAAACTTTTAATTTTTTCTGCTAGTTCTTAAAAAATTTTATTTCAATTTTATATAGTTGAATTAGAGACAATTGTACATGTTAGTATGTGTATATGTAGTTCTTAAAATTTTTTATTTCAGTTTTATATAGTTGAATTAGAGACAATTATACATGTTAGTATGTGTATATGTAGTAATATATATATATATATATATATAGATTGATTGATGCACCTTCCATAAATTAGATGATTTGATTGACAGTGATTGATTTATTCCATATTTAACATATCTATTCTCCCATATAAAGGAGTTCATTGTACACACTTGAATATATACAAAATACATATTCTCTCTCTTTATTTCTCTCTATACCTTCATCATAGTATCAGAGCTATAAGGTTTTTTTTTCTGTTCATCACCAGAAGTTCCATCACACTTTCTGGCTCGAAATTTTCTCCCAATTCCAACGCCACCAAAATTATCGTCAAATGACCCGCATGCATCCTCACGCGCCGCCTGACGTTCTGCGCGTCATCCCTTCCGCTGCCACTCACTTACGCACCCTCACGCACGCCTCCTGTGTCGCTGACGTTAGCTACGACACGGCGACGTCAACCCTCATCCGTTTCCGTTAAGCTACGGCTCAAGCCCAGCCGCTTCCAATGCTTTTGCTAACCTACTCCGCACTGCCCCCGCTATACTGCGCCGCACCTCCTCCATACTAACGTGAGCCGCGCCTGCTGACATCAGTCTTCCTCTTGCTAACGTCAGCCCTACGCCCTATTTGGCTGAAATTCAACTTTTGGCTTGTTTCTATCTATTTTATGCACCTTTTCTGCTCATTTTGGCTTGGTTCCCACCTATTTTCGACCTTTCGGATTCACTGGTACACTCTGTTTTTTCTAATTTTGCCTCTATGGATTGCTCAGACGATGCTCATCTTATTTATGTTATCGATGGCTCAAATTATATTCTGTGGGCCCAAGCCATGACTGGCTTTCTCAATGGCAAGAAATTATAGCGTATTATTACTGGTGATGTGCCTGAACTAACACAAGAGACAAAGGAATCTGCAGGAAATATGCTGACCGTTTGGAGGAATGGGATAGTAAAACCTATCAGATCATCACTTGGTTCAGGAATACCTCTGTTACATCTATTAGCCTTCAGTTCGGCCGCTTTCAACTTGACTCGGTCTCCATACTTGCTAAAAATATTTGGGACTTCCTCAAAGAACGATATCAGACTAATGGTCTTGCTCATCAGTATCAACTTCAAAGCCACCTCCATCGCATGCGCCAACAGCCTGATCAGTCCATTAATGACTTTCTGTCTCAAATCTATTCTATTTGGGATCAACTTGCTCTGTCCGAACCAGCCTGGCCTCATCCTGATGATGCTTCTCTCTTTATCACTTATCGTAATCAGCAGAGGTTGGTTCAGTTTCTTATAGCTCTCACTCCTCACTTTGAGCCAGTCCAGGCTACCCTACTACATCGCACGTCTTTGCCTCCCTTGAGCAGGCTATATCCAAGCTTCTCTCTAAAGAAACTCGTCTTGGTCCATCCTCCACTCCCCATGTGGACTCAGTTCTGTCCACTCCTCAGTCAATGGGCTCTTCCTCCACACAGCCGACTCCTCAGTGCACTTATTGTCAAAATCGTAGACTTCCTTTTACTCATCTTCTAGTTCACTGTTTAGTCAAGTCTTGTCGTTACTGCAACAAAACTAGCCCTGGACATCTCCAACAAGATTGCTTTCGTAATCCATTTCGCCCATCCTCTACTGGGTCATCTTCTCGTGGCTCTCACTCACAGGGACGTTCACATCATTCTGGGCCTTAGTCTTGGTCTATGCCTGCTCATTGTACTGCTACTGCTGTCTCTGAGGACTTCTCACAGTCTGAACCTTTTGATCCTTCCACCCCTGTCTTCTCCCAGACTGATGTTGAAACTTTGATCAAACAGCTTCTCTCCACCTCCGGTACTCCTCCTGCTACTGTCTTGTCTGTCACCTCAGGCACATTTTCCTGGTATTTTGACTCTGCCTGTTGTAATCATATGACTTTTGACTCTACCGTATTTTCCTCCACATTTTCTTCTCTTCATATTCCTTCCATCCATACTGCTAATGGATCTCTCATGTCAGTGAGTCATATTGGTTCTGTTTCTACGTCTCATTTGTCTTCATCTCATGTTTATCTTATTCCTGCTCTCACTGTAAACCTTATTTCCATTAGTCAGTTATGTGAACATGGTCTCCCCGTTGCCTTTCTACTAATGGTTGTTTGGTGCAGGACCCTCGGACGGAACAAACACTTGGAATCGGCTATAAGCATGGACATCTCTATGAACTCATCCATCTTTATGTTCCAGCTTCCAGTCCATTGGCTGCCTCTACATCTACCTCTACCTTTACCTTATCAAATTTTCATCTTTGGCATTGTCGGTTAGGTCATCTATCAGTTAGTCATTTAAAATTTTTAATTTCTAGTGGTCAGTTAAGATCTATCTCTTCAAATACTTTGGATTGTTTATCTTGTCAACTTGCCAAACAACCGACTTTATCTTTTAATAAAAGTAATTCTATTTCAAATGCTTCTTTTGATCTTGTGCATTTTGATATTTGGGGCCCATCCCCTACACCTACCATGGGGGGGTCACGTTACTTTGTTATTTTTGTTGATGATTTTTCACGCTATACTTGGATATTTCTTATGAAAAATCGTTTTGAACTTAAACAACTTTATTACAATTTTTCAAAAATGATTCAAACCCAATTTTCCAAAACCATAAAAAAAATTCGTTCTGATAATGCTATGGAATACCAGGATTCTGAATTTTTGGTTTTTCTTTAGAGTTATGGTACTCAGCCTCATTGTTCTTGTGTCGGTACATCCCAACAAAATGGACGTGCTGAACGAAAATATAGGCATATTCTTGATACTACTTGAGCTCTTCTCATTTCTTCTTCTTATCCTAAAAATTTTTGGAGAGAAGCTGCACTTATTGCTATTTACACTATCAATTATATCCTTACTCCAGTCCTTCATCATTAAACACCCTACAAGCGTTTGTATGGAAATTC